AATTTGGAAACAATCAAAATATTTAAATGTATTTACATTTAAAAAACAAAAATATAGTTGGAAAGCATATTTTTTAAACTGGAAATTTTCGTAAATAAACTAGAAGTTGCACGTAAACACCATTTTAGTTTCAATAAACAGATTGGATCTTTATCAGAGCATTTCACCAAAACGTTGACAGTGTGTACACTTGTTTTTCAGAATTATCGAAAAAACCAAACCACTATTACTAAGATTATCGAAAGAAACAAATACTCATAGAACAATTATCTGCATGACCATGCCCATGCGTGTAGCATAGTTTAATTTCCTTCCTTTCACTATTTTTTCTTCCACACATTGTCCAAACATCGTCTATGATTAAACTATACGCACCAAACGAACTTTCAGCCCAGCAAGATAAAAAATCTTGCAGGAAAACATTTTCTCGTTATTATCTTCTGGTATTTAGTTGATGTCTGGGTTAAAGTGAGTGTGCCATATTTCAGTCGCGAGTGAAAAATCAGAGAACTGATTTCTTGTTATAATGATTAAATAAAAATTTTCCTGATTCATCAAGTATGCCAACGCGTAGTATATAAGCTTGACGTTTCTCAAGTTTATCAGTGTAAGTAGTTTTTACTTCTTAGAGAGATCACTGCAATATCCAATATGGTCAAGGTGCAAGCTGTCGCTACTTTAGGAAGTAAGAGACGAAATTTTCTTTTTTGATCTAATCCATAAAATATTATTCACGAATTCATTGATACACATTAATATCATTTTATAGTTATCTTAGTGTGCTTCGTGTTATCGGGCGAGGCTCAGAACGACGAGCTGTGCTCTTGTATAACAAGCGATCTCATTCAACCCATATGCGGTACTGACAATCGAACATACAGAAATGTGGGTCAATTAAATTGTTTTAATCGGTGCGATAACACAGGTCCAGGTAAGTTTTATAAGCTGTTTTAACAATCATCATAAAATAGACAAAAAAAAGACTAACAATATTTTATGGACATATTTATTGGCCTCTACATCATGAATATTGACGTTTACGATAAGTTATTTTTTATCGAGTATACAAATATACTTGATCTCTTGCTTACGTACATAAATATACTTGATTATGTTTAATAATGTTTAGCAATAAACGTGTTGGATTTTAAAAAACAAATGATTGGATTTATTGGTTTCTGTTTCTTTTTGCAGTCGTCGACAAAGCATATGATGGAGAATGTAAGTAGATATTGATCTCACGATGACCAAAATATGTCTGCGAACTATCATATCAACGTGTATTAAAGAAGATATGTAACAAAGCATGGTAAATTAAAAACTACTTATTAAGTAAGAACTTGATTCGTGTTTTTTTTTAACAAACCATACATTACCTGTTATATCATATACCTATTGCTCACCTACACGAGTCATTTTCTGCGTTCAATAATTTCATTTTCAACTGAAATAAATCTCTTACACGTTTAAAATTACGTCTCTGCATACTTACATTACTTTCTTGAGTTAAAAGAAGTATTCTGAAAAATGTTGATGTGTGTAAAATAAATCATACTTTGTTTTTTTTTAATTTTTACTAAAATGTATATTGTCTTAACTTTTTTACTAATTCTAAGATCTATTACTTAAAAAAATGCGTTGTGATGGATTAAAAAATACAACCCATTGCAGGTCGTAAGCTTCTTGTAGGCAAAAACATATTGTGAATATTGTTGTAAAGTTTTATTCCATAGTATTGATATTGAAACCGTAGATAACTTTCTTCAAATGATTTAAAAATTTTACTTATTCTTTGTAGATTCGACATTACATTTCAAAGTGGTTAATCTCTTTTTAGTACACAGATAAAGTAAACACACAACTAAAGGTACCTCTTGCGGTAATCAATGAACGAGAGAACCAAATGAAATTTTGAAAGGTTATTTGTACAGTGTTGATACACCACTGGAAAATCGAGTTGTAACGTAAGCGCTTATAGAAATAAACAAGTTTTACACCGAAAATAGCACAATATCTTATTCTTAATACAAACTACAGACACCAAAATTATACCTAAGTTCATAATTTGGGAGATTACGACGTTCAAAAAAGCACTTGGCCATTCTCTTTAGTTTTTTCTCTTAGTCAGTTTTAGCTCTGTTTAATTAGATACTCATTTTTAAATATCAATTTATTATACGGATAGCAACAATAAAAACTAACTACTACACGTGACCCGAGATGAAATCAAGTTATGTTTCATTGTCTATTATGCACAATTGCAGCCGAAATAGTTCCAAAAGCTTCTTTTATTTCTCATTGTGATGCTATTCAAATTGCAAATAACAAGTCACTTGTGAATAGTTAAAAGACATTTACTTCTTTATTATAGTGTACGAAAATATACAATTAATCGTTTTATAGCTATTACATACCTTCGGAGTCACGCATGAGCCACCTTACATATTATTATTGGTGACCAGTCATGTTTCGGTTTTTTTTAAAATCTATTCTTTGAATTCACTTGTGAGACAATCATGGACAGTAGTTTTTATGAAATTTATGTTCAGTTACTATTGAATCCATTATATTCCTTTGAACAAGGTCCTTTGTGAGATATTTTAACATCTACAAAAATAAAAAGGGCCATTACGTACAGTTCGTAATTTTCATGGATTTACATAAGTTATATTGGTTGTGTGTCATCAAACGTATCAAATTACTAATAAATTCTTTTTATGTAATAGCAATGTAATAAAAAAAAATGTAATAGACATAATATAAACATAATTACGGAAATTCGATGCTACAATAGCTGTGGTTTACTCTCGTCTAACATTATACTATTATTAAAAAAGTCATAAAACAAACTTACTTTTTTGATTGCAATAATTGAAGCAGTTCAATTTTAGGACGTTACGAAATGTACGGCCATTAGCGCAGATAGGGTCATCGATTTCGCTATCTTTGCATTGGCACGGTATTCCTCTCATAGCTTTGCTCGACAACAAGAAACAGATTAAGACCGCTAAAATATAAATTAATTGTGAAATAATTTTCAAACTTGCGCTGAACGACAGACTTTTGATTTACTTACTACCAAAAAGCATGATGTTCCACACTTTGGCCATAGCAAAATGATTATAATAATTGTCGCAAGAAAAACGAATCAACTTGTATTATGAGTTGAAAAAAATGTCTGGTTTATATATAACAATCAAGTTTCTTACGCAATATAATAGACGATTTCTTTACGATGAATAATAACGAAACACTTAAATAAATACACACAGCTGATGATAATAATGTTTTGAGTGTAGGGGACCAATTGTTCCATAATTTATTTGAAATTGAATTAAGTTGTCCCTCATTACCTCAAGATCATAAAAATCTTTGTGGTTTTAAATTGCACTAATTTTTATAATTTATTGATCTGTATTTTTTTTTTGCTTGAATATTTAATATTTTTTGTTTATGTTTTATGTCATATTACTCTTATCAATCAGAAATTATAGTTCCCTTTTCATAAAGAAACTTAATGAGATCCGATCTGCCGGAAATGACAAATTAATTTTTTTTCATGCATCTGAAAATGGAACAACGACATGATGATCGTAAGACGAATTCAGGTAAACATTATGGGTTAAATCAAATTCAAATTTGATGGAGTCACTAAGAAATATTTTAATAATTGTCTTGCTCTATTTTCTATAAAATCGGTGTGCTACGAAATTTGTAACCTTTTGTACTACGGAATCATTCAATTTATTATTTATACTGTTTGTAGCTTGACCTCCAGTTTGGTTGATCAATAACAAAATAGCGTACACGAAAGGGCAATAATATAGAAAATCTAAGATTACACGTATATTTTATATTGATACATATGATGTCCAATTCATTTATTCGAGTTTATCAAAAATTATTTTTCAATTGAAGATTCATTTTTCTTTTAATTTGAAATTTGTAATCTAATTATTTTTAAATTCTCATTAATTATTCGCACACATAAGTTAAATGGGTATTATAGCGATACTATCCACCTCAAAAGTTAGTTTCAGTTTGAATAATTTTTATAGTACCATTATTCTGTATAAATCATGTAAATAGTCTTACATTATAGCATACAATTACAAAAAGTTGTAGAAAAATTGATAATACCCACTTTAACGCCAAATTTATGCACAATCTTTTCTTTTAGGTCGTACTGTATGGATATATATATATATATATATATATATATATACATCATCAAGTTTGAACTGTGAATTAAATGAATTAAATAATAATCTCCTTGACGCGTTATCGCAAAAGCTTTCAAAAATTTCAATTTAACGTATATTTAATGATATAGAAAAACATATCAACTTTTTAGGGATTCATAATTAAACTGTTTAAATTGCAAACTTTGAAATTTAATGTTAAAAAGTTGTACCACTGGTCCCTCTGTGATACAAATATCATGTAAGCGATATTGAAATGTATCCATGGAATTTTTTTCAAGAACGCCTCAATAATTTGAAAAATTATGATAACCTCCTTTAGTAAATTATAACTAAAACCAAATCAATTTGAAAAATGCTTATACTTGATACCTCAAAATAAGTGCACATTAGATAATATTGTTGAAATCGTGAATAGTAAAAATCAGAAAATAATTTAGATTTATTTTAGGATTTTTGGTGAAAAATTTTCTTAAAAAATGCTGATTTAAAAATTTTTTTATTTCAAGAACAGTATGACTCTTTTGAATTTGTGAAAAAATCAAGTCTCGCTGTAAAAAATGAGCTTATAATAGTGAACGCGCACACCTTACTATTTTAATATCATATTCTATTCTTTTAGTGCTGAGTATCAAAGTAATCTCTATGTATTTTGGTGTTCGGTAATACAAATATAAGCGTAACAAGACATTGTAAAGTTCTATACGAAAAAATTTTTAAGCTTTTGTACATCAAATATATTTATTAACTTTTTAAGTTACATTTCCAAATCATCACGCAGACAATGTTATGCTTTCCGTATGATTTCGTTCTCCATAGAATCCAAATTGTTAATTCCTACAACGTCCTTCGTGAGCTACTCTGACTTCTACAAAAAATAAATTAATAAACATCGTTAGATATAACTAAATTGCCATTTCATTTCTTTGTACAATAAATATATATCTTTAATTATTATCTGTTGAAGAAAGTTTAACCAATGCATTGGTTGCAGTCTAATTTCGTCTAATTTTACATACTTATCATTAGAACAAAGTATAAAATCAACTTACTCTTGTTGTTGCACTTATTGTAGCAACCCAATTGTCCGGAATTGCCGTATGTACGTCCATCAGTACCGCAGACAGGTTTATAAAGAGTAATAGCTGCGCAATCGCACGGTTTTTTCCTCTGAGCTTCGCTTGACAGCACGAAGCACATCATGATGACTGAAAAGTTCATGAATCCATATGATGTAAAATTTTTACTATTAATTATTACATTAACAAAAGCATTCATCGAAAAAATTTTTTTATACATTTTCTTTTGTACTTACCACCTAAAATTACGATGCTTTGTAGCTTGACCATGGTGAAATGACTGTGAGTTTCTCAGTAGAGTAGCGAAACAACACTGATTGATAGAGTGAAAGAGTGGTGGGTTTTTATATGTTATGCGAGCTTACTTTGTGAGTCAGGGGAAAATTTTTGACTCAATGAAATAACAAGGAAAAAGCTGTTTGATATTTTAAACTAATGTGGTTGGAACGTTGCTACGTCAATTGATGAAAAAAAACTTTCCTTATTCAAAAACTCTTTATCTCACTATACTATCTGACAGCTTCTAAATCCTGATTTTTCGTAGTTAAATTTCACCTCAATAGTCGTATAGCATCTGTTTATAAACGTTGCGTTAATTACGACAAGTTTCTCTAAAAATTTCATACTTTTCATTTCATTTTAATCAATTAATAAGTATCCCTTCTTAGGGGGGTTTCAATGATCGAAAGATTTTAAAATCTTTTTAAAAGCTCAGTTCAATGAACAGTCATGTACAAGCGGAATTTTCAGTCAAAACATTTGTTTGAATCACCACCTACGCACACGCGTACAAGTAGACAAATATTTCAAAAATACACACTTTATTTGATCGACATAAAGTGAGATCAATATAGAAAATGAGGTAAGATTAACACAGGAGAAAAAATACTTACTTGAATCCATGACTAATACAATGCAATTTCGTCGGAAAGTTTTTAAAATTCTGGAAATATTGAAGAAAAAAAAATTTATTACCTTAATCCCACAATACTGCACATAAATTGTTGCATTGCACCATGTTCATATAATATACCGAACTTGGTAAAATACTGGCAAACACAAAAAATTTTTAAGTACTAAGCAAATCGCACTTTACTAAACGAGCAATGATTCATTACTTCTCTTTTTGATTACTCTACATCTCGGGAGTATTGAATCGAGAGATATTTTTCATTCTGTAACATACATGTATTTATATTTTTACGACAAACTTGTGTAACATTATTTAATCACTTGAGCTATACGAGGACGTTTTTTCCTCCTTCGCAGTATAATAACCACAACTACCATCCACCATTGACTTTCCGTCGAAATCACTTTATCAATAAAACAGCCTCCCAATTTCTCAAAAACACTCTCCCTACAACAGCCAACCACACCGAAGCAAATTTTAATTAAAACTCCCGCATAATCTCAAATCCGTACGAATAATGGCGATCCTCGCGTATACGTGTACATTCTCTCACGCTTCGCCCATAAAACAGAGCCGCACACCAACGACCGCCTATTCCCACCCCCACCCCCTACCCCACACGTGTATGCACATACCTCCGCGTGCGTACACCCAAGCCTGCAGCGCGTGTACTTACACGCACCTAAGCCCGAAAATTCCACCCACACCCGCCCCGGCGAACTTTGGCGCTTAATACGCACCCTTATTAATATTTATCAGCTGCGAGCCACCGACGCCCATGTACGTACAACTGCACGCGCGTATGGCTGCTCCCGTGATAGTCTGGCTCCAATCAAAGGGGTGTCTTGCGATGTACACGCACGCCGGTGCCGGAGGAGCGTCGCTGTGGTGCGTCTCGCGAGACGCTCTCGTGTAATCGAAATTAAAAGCGAGATGGGTACGGTGGGCGAGGAGGGGTCCCCTTATTCGTCAGCGTTAGCGCGTTACTTTGCGCGTATGAGGAGGAAGAGCTAATGGGCCGCGACTTTGACGAAGCTAAGAAAGTTACCTTTTACGGAACGGCTCGTGTCATTTGTTTATGCGAACGTTTACTTGGATCTAGTTTACAACTTTCTGGTGGATCAGGAGGTGTACTTTGGCGTAATTTGATTTGCAGGGGCTGTTACTCCGCACTTGCCGTGGACCGCTATTTGTTTTAATTACAATACTATGGGCTGTTCACAGGTACGAGGAAGCACTACTACAGAGTTTTATTTATTTATTTATTTGGAATTGTAATGTTGGAAATATTGATAAAGAATTTCAGTTGAAAGTAGTTTGTTGATCGTCTTGTTTTTTTTTTCTTTTTTCTTTCTTTCTTTTTTTTTCTGGCGAAATTTACCATTTTCTCATGTTTTTGGTTTTTTGATATTCATACCATCACAATAACATGAAAAATAAGAATTGTATTTCCTGTCAATTTGATAATCTCTGCAAAACCTATTGTTCCATCATTATTAGTTTTTTTTTTGTTTTTTTGTTTGTTTGTTTGTTTTTTTTTGTGTGTATCAATATTTAGTACTTGGAAACTAAAAAAAAAAATTTATTTTCACAAAACATAATATGTTATTGTGACTTGTGACCCAAAATACAAAAAAATATAGAAGTATAAGAAAAAGTAGTAGGCATGCTTTTGTTTTGCATCAGCTTTTCATGTGGAATGGAAAAATAAATTTTATAAGTTTAACTGTACTTAATCAATTTATATAGTAGGTTTTATCTGTCTGATGCATGATGGTTTTAAATTCCCGATGAGGTTTCAGGTTTTTCTTGAGATTTGTATTAGATCGATTATATTATTTATAAATTTTTCAACTCATTAGTAATTATCTATTAATTCACATCATTCAATAGAGAATGGAGACCATAAAATTATGAAGCTCAAGAGACCCAATCACATCACAACTAGCATTTATCAACCAACACGCTCGTGCTATTAAATTACGGTAAAAATTGTCTGTCTTCCTCAGCCTCGAAAATTGAACTCATCAGTAAAACAGCACCACACAATCACCCTTAAGTATTCGATAACGTGCCTTCCGTGATTTTAATTACATCTGTCAAGTGAACGCAGCACGTTTCCATGTACCTACACATTATCCCCCATATGATAATTCCATCCTAACCCGATCTCTAATAAATATAACAAGCTTGCTCTTCGTGATTATTTTAATGGACTCCGCCCAACCAGCGTATAGACCGAAAATAAAACTACAACTGAGGCACGTATCCAAACAGAGATCCGAAAAATAGTCCAAAGCAATGGCAATTTGCATTTAAAAGCCGGTACTGGTTTCCACCCCGGCAAAAATCTAAATGGAAAAATTCGTCTTCTCCCTTTGCTTCGTTATAAGTGCACGCGACACGGCTTTTACTTAACATCGAAATGAAGACGCGACGACCGGTTTCCTCCTCCTCGTCGCTGTACCCACACATAATACGTACCCGTTCTCACTCCTCCTTCACGGATTATATTCTTAAACGGCGCGTGGATCGTATTTTTGGCAAGAGGAAGTCGGAAAGGGGAGTGTGTATAAGCGGCCCTCGCGTGGCACCGGTCTGGACTTTTGTTCGTAAATTTCGTCTATAAAACGCACGGTCCGGTTTTCTCGGTCCACGTGGCGCACTTCGATTTTTGCTTCCCGCTCCTGTGATGCTAATGGAAAATAAATAACTCGAGAGCGTCCCGGGTCGCGTTTCGATCGCTCGGGCATTTTTAGAGCTACGGCAGCTGCACGAAAGGGCTTTGCGTTTAATCCGTCTTTCTCTGTTTTTCGATCGAGTCATGAGTATTTCGAGTGTATAAACATGGTGCTGTACGTAACCTGCTGAGGGAGTGACGATTTTTTTTTTTCATCAACTCAAAGAGTTTTTATTAGACTGAGAAGAGAATTTTTGGAAATTTTCAAGAGCATTTGTAACAAACAAAAGAAGTTAAAAACTATAAAATTGATATTACGATTTTTGTGAAAAGTTGTCCGTAATAGATTGACACGTAATTTCCCCATACTTTGATTAAAAATTTAGAATAAAATAAAATTCATATGTTTTGAAATTAAAATATTTTTGGTAGGATAAATTTCTTATCATAAAAAAAAATAATAATAAAATTCTAATTATTTTC